TGGTACAAGAAGCATCGGCTTGGCGTTAACAGCATCGACCATATGATGAAGAATATCATCAAGAATACGCTTTTGGAAACATCCAGCAAGAGGCTAAGTAATCACAGTACAAAGAAGACGGTGGTAAAGAAACCGAGGGCAGCAAATGTTGAGAGGTAGTCTATTATTCAGGTGACCGGCCACGCAAATGAAAAGTCGCTGAACGACTACGATGAAGGAAGTGAAAGGGAGCATCGAGAGCTATCACACATTATCAGTAGAACTTCACAGACAACAACATTAAACAGTTCCTTAGGACTTCCAGTGTGGTCTTTTCTAACCGGTACGGAACAGATCCAGCAAGCAAGCAGCCATCATGTTTTCACTGTAAACAATTTTCACGACTGTCAAGTCACGTTTAACGTCATTCAAGGACAGTGTGGTTCACCTAAAAGCTCAGATCAGCATTAACTGTCTGTTCGTGCTAATTACTACGGAACAATTACAAACTTTTCATCGCTTAACTGATTTTTCATGCTCTTGATTTAAAAAAAGAAAAAAAAAACTCGACCAGAAAGTTCCTAACGTTTTCCTAAAAAACAATTCGCGCTTGGTTTAGCTGTTAAAAGGTTGTAATTGATTAGTTGAAATAAAACATGTGAGCAGTTTGGAAGCCATTACAGAGTCGCATGTCCATTTAAGCGTGTCCGCCGCGTTTTCTTGATTCCTTTTTTTTTTTTTTAAATTTTGTTGAGTATATCATAACTAAAAAAATCGTATGATCGCGCGTGCATTTCGTAATATGTGGTCACTCGTGATGTTTTTCAAGTTACCAAATTGCACTCGCCTAGCCTGCGGCTCACGCAACTTTGAGAACTTGAAAATCATCACTCGTGCTCATATATAACGAAATGCACCCGCGTTCATACGATTTTCTATACTATTCAATGAACCAAACCAGATCTGTAGCACCGAGCCTGGTTGATATTTCATCGTAAAATGCAATAGTCGTAGCGCTGAGTTGAAGTTTACTTTAGTCCTTGCATATCAACACGATGTTTTACTGATTGAAACAAGGTCTAATATGAACGGCGA